TTTGCCCCCAAGGTAATAAGTACCACAAATTAAAGGGGTGGCAAAACACAGACAAGGAAAAAAATCTCAGGAAAGAAATATTTGATTGTCTCAAAATATCATTTTGACACATAAAATTATACTATAATTTATGAGTGCTTCTTTTGAGAAAAGCCCTCATTCTAGAATTGTTCTGTACAAGATGGTAGTCAGTCACCATATCTAACTGTTGAACCCTTAATATGAAATATAATTAAATCAAAATATGCTGTAGGCTGGGAATGCAGCTCAGAGGAAAAGCACTTTGCATGTATAAAACTCTGGCACCACACACACAAACACACACACACAATTTTCTTTTCTTTTTTTTTTTTTTTTCTTTTTTTTTTTCCCCTTTATTTTATTTTATTTTTTTTAAAGTTGTAGATTTACAATTTTTTGTGCTTTGGATTCAATTATACAATGATCAGATACCCATCCCTCCACCAGTGCCCATTTTCCACCACCATGGATAATATCCCTCCCACCCTCATCCCCCCCTCCCCCCTGTCTCTGTGGCAGGGCAATCCCCTGTGTTCTCTCTCTCCTTTTGGGTGTTGTGGTCTGCAAAAGAGGCATTGAGTGGCAAACATGTTCAGTCCATAGTCTACTTTCGACATGCATCTCCCCTCCTGGGAGGATCCTCCAAACATCCTTTATTTGGTGCTCCCTTCTCTATCTGAACTGCCCTTTCCTCTAGGATACCCGGCTGGCCTCTAAGTTATGGAGTAATCCTCCTGGTGCTGATCTCAGCTATTCTTGGGTATTAATCTCATACTTTGTTACTTTATATCCCCCAGATGAATGCAATCTTTCTATGTCTATCCCTCTCTTTCTGACTCATTTCGCTTAGCATGAAACTTTCCATATTGTACCACTTGTATGTAAATTTCATGACTTCATCTTTTCTAAGAGCTACATAGTACTCCATTGTGTAGATGTACCAAAGTTTCTTTAACCAGTCATCTGTTCTTGGGCATTCAGGTTTCTTCCAGTTTCTGGCTATTGTAAAGAGTGCTGCAATGAACAAACAAGTGCAGATGTCACTTCGACTATACATTTTTGCCTCTCTGGGATATATTCCCAGGAGTGGTATTGCTGGCTCAAATGGGAGCTCAATTTCTAATTTTTTGAGAATCGTCCATACTGTTTTCCAGAAGGGCTGAACCAATGGACATTCCCACCAACAGTGAAGGAGTGTCCCTTTCTCGCCACATCCACGCCAGCATCGGTTGCTTTTGTTCTTTTGAATGTGGGCCAGTCTCTGAGGTGTGAGATGGTATCTCATTGTGGTTTTGATCTGCATCTCCCTGATGATTAATGATGTAGAGCATTTTCTCATGTGCTTTTTTGCCATTCGGATTTCTTCTTTGAGAAAGTTTCTCTTCATTTCATTGCCCCATTTTTGGATGGGGTTGGATGTTTTCTTCTTGACACACACAATTTTCTGTTTTAAGTATAAAATATACATAGGATTTTAAAGATTACTACCAAATAAAAGACTGTAATATATTTTCTTAATCTGAATATTAATTGACAATGAAGGGACAATATTTTGAGTATTACTTAATCACTTAATCACTTAACTTCCCATTAGTCGTCGATTTGCTCGAGCGGGCGCCAGTAACGTCTCCATTTGTCCCTGTCGCGTGCTAGTGTAGCCCAATGGCATCTGTTCGCTCCGGGAACATGAAGGGCCTCAAACCGATCGTTCATGATCTTGACGAAGAAGTCTGACCATCTGGTAGGTGGGCGGCCACGCAGTCTCTTGACATCCCGTGGAATCCAATCAGTAACAGTTCTAGTCCAACGGTCGTCTTTAAATCTCATTACGTGACCAGCCCATCTGATTTTCGACACCTTGGCAAATGAGACAGCGTCCCTGATCCTTGATCGTCGACGGATGTCAGAACTCCGGATTCGTTCTCTCATTTGAGTGAAACGTGTTATTCCAAGCATAGCTCTTTCTATTCTTCTTTGGGAGACCTGAATGGCGTTCTCATCTTGTTTGCATAGGACCCAGGTCTCTGAGGCATATGTTAATGCAGGAAGAACAGTGGAATCAAAGAGATGTGCCTGGAGCCGGAGGTTCTTCGTCCTCTTAGCTATTTCTTCGACGTTCTTGAAGGCGTTCCAAGCCGCTCTCTTCCTCCTGCGCAGCTCGGGTGCCAGGTCATTTGTCATGTTGACCTCTCGACCTAGGTACACATAGCTGTTGCATTCGGAGATGGTCGTTCCATTGAGAGCGAATGGGGCGTCAGGAAGAAGGCTGTTTCTCATAAACATCTCATAAACATCTCAAAAATTACGAAGACAATTTTGAGTATAACAGGGTTAAATATAAGTATTAATTTTACCTCTTCCCCGGTTTTTGAGGTATCATATTTTCAATAGTGTTGATATTGTTTTTATACATGCTACACCATATCACTATTAGAATGTTAAAATCCCCCCCACCTTTATCACAAGGTCCATTCTATGCCCCATCTACCTTCCTTAACCTCCTCAGTTCACAGTTTTGTGACCTTATCTCAGAGTTTATTTCTGGTGGAGACTGTATAATCCTTTTCAGATTTCTTTACGTTCCACCTATGAACAAGATTACCTGGTATTTGTCTCCTTCTCTCTTACTCACTTCACTTAGTATTACATTCTTCAATTTTATCCACATTGCAGAAAAGTACAAAGTTTCATCTTTTCTCATAATTGTCCCCTCTTCAGTCTTTAGCATGGCTTCTAGAAAATATGAAATTACATATGTTGCCTACATTGCACTTAGAGTGCTGCTCTAAGTCTGTAACAGTGTTTGGTTAATTTCCAGGTACTGTAAGAAAGAAACGTGAATTAGTGAGCAGTAGCAAGGGAAGAAGGAAGGAAGCAAAAGAGGAAAGCTTAGCCTCAAAGAAGTTTTCATTGTTTTCCCCTTAAGTGGGGAGAAGGTAGAAAGGCTTCATTGTAAAGGGCTGACTTATGGTCCTGTGTGTGCTTTAGCCTCTGAGTATTCTAATACCGCAGGGAAAAAATATAGATCACAAGCATTTCTATTAAAATGTGTTTCCACTAGTTGGAACTAGAGCACGTTCTCCCACCTCAATAGTCAGGCTTCCTGTCCAGTGGTGACTACCTAGTGGGCAAGATCTTACATTTGAAGTTTATGTGTGAAAATGTTCTTTCCGGTGTTTTGCAGCCACTGGTAGGAACTAATGACCTATCCTTGCCCCAGACTAGATCATATCCATCTAGCAGCCAAAACATCTTCCGTTCGCCAAATCAAGTGTATCTTTTGAAACAATGTAATATCAATACTGGCATTATATTTTTAGCAAGTAGGTTTTCATTAGAGCCTATGGATAACAAAACCCCACATTTAAATACACAAATTAACAATTAATAGATGTATCTAAATCATAATTGTTACCTCAAGAACAAGACTTACTGTATCAGGGCAAAGCATATTCAGAAACCTAAGAGAAGGAGTTCAGCATTTGCTTAGAGCTTGCTCTCTGCTAAACTCTTTAATTCTGTTATCTAAATTAATCCTGATACTCACAATTTGTTGTGAGACGCTACTGGTGTCTGCTCGAGCAAATCGATGAACAACGGCAAGACAGCACTACAGTGCTACCTGCAAAGAGTTAGGTGCCATTCTAATTTGACATTTCTTTATATGCACAGGAGTCCCCTTATTTTGATAGATTTTTTTTTGTACTACAATTCCAGGGTTTGGAAGGTACTCTGTTTTCTCTTATTAGATGACAGTTTTTTTTTATGAGACAATACTCCCAAGAACCTTTATTTGTAGTTTACTGAAGTCAAGAAAAGTTCTAAGGGAGACAAACACTTCACCTCTTCAGTCGATAATGTTGACTTGAATCACAATCTTCCTGAACCTCAGATTGTTCATGTGCTAAAATATTACTCAAATCACAGATTAATTATATATAATCAACATAAAATTTTGTTACATTTTTCTAAATTTGAATGGTATACTTCAAATTTGGGCTGGAGTGATAACATAGCAGGTAAGGCGTCTGCCTTGCATGCAGCCGACCCGGGTTCGATTCCTCCGCCCCTCTCAGAGAGCCCGGCAAGCTACCAAGAGTATTCCACCCACACAGAAGAGCCTGGCAAGCTACCCGTGACGTATTCAATATGCCAAAAAAAAAGTAACAACAAGTCTCACAATGGAGACATTACTGGTGACCACTCAAGCAAATCAATGAACAGGAGGACAGTGCTACAGTGCTACTTCAAATTTATGAATGTTATAAGCATTTATAAAATATAAACAATTATACTAATAATATCAAGGATAATTTGTCTTAAGAGAGCAACTTTAGGATTGAGGCGACAACTTAAAGGACTAGAGTACATGCCTGACTCAAGGCCCCAAGTTCTGTCCCAGTACCACATGCCCTTCACCAGGACCACACCATGTACCCCTAGTGGTCCCCATTCCCACTGGGCCTGAGCAGTACTGCATCACCAGACACCAGTACCACCATCCTGTCAGGTTCTGGATCACTTGGTCAAGTGTCATTTGGGAGTGGTTCCTCCAGCCCCCAGGGAAACCCCTCAAAAATAAGAACACTGAGCAATAGTGCAGCAAGTAAGGCACTTGCCTTGCACCCAGCTGTCCAGATTCAGTCCCCAGTATGATATATGATATTCTGAACCCTGCAGGAGTGATCCTTGAGCACAGGGCCAGTTGGTGTGTCCCAAAAGACAAAACAAAAAAAGAATAGGAGCCTGAGGGGTTGAGATACTTGCCTTATATCTTACTGACTTTGGTTCTAACACTTAGTATGAACACCCCCAGGGCCACTTCTGAGCACAGAAAAACTCTGGATTTCAGCACAGGAATTTGGGACCAGTGGGTGGTGATTACTTGGGAAGCTATAGGGAGCATACATATTCATACCCAAATAAGCAATATCAGTTCTAAAATCATAATAATCTTTTAATTTGTTTTCTTTTATTAGATCCAAAACTTGGAGCTGGTATATACTTTACCAAGAACCTCAGACATCTAGCACACAAGGACAAGAAAACATCTGTCACAGATAAGTTCATCTATGTGTTTGAAGCTGAAGTACTCACTGGCAATTCCTGCCAGGGTCGTCCAGAACATGTTGTTCCTCCACCACTCAGTCCTGGAGCCATTGAAAGCCATGATAGTTTGGTTGATTATATGCCCAACCCTGAAACTTTTGTTATTTTTAACTGCATGCAGGCTATGCCCCTGTATTTGTGGACTTGCACCCAGAATCATGAACAACCACAGGGCGTATTGTTCTCTCAGCAACAGCAACGGAATGAATTTGCAGCTGGTAGCCATGTTTATCAGAAACAACAAAAGAGCTTTTCTCCACCACACACTTGGGGGACATTTCCAAGTGGAAGCTCTGTTGATTAACTTCTATATGATTTTAACAACTAGCATGGCCTTATTTTGGAGCCACTAAATCATAGTCATCATTGATTCAAATAGTTTGATTTTCAGATAGGTTGTCTTATACACTGATTGGGTTTTTGAAGTACTATTGACTAACCATGTACTAGCGTCTTAGTGTTTTTATCTCTTGGAGTTAATTGGTACCAACTAAAACATTCAGGTCCATTCTTTATCCTTCAAGTTTCTCTTTCATTCCCTTTTCCATATAGATAACAAAATTATATGCAACAGATTTTTTCTAGTATATAATCTAAGATTTTTACTTTCTGATAAATAGAATTATTTGAGATTTCCCAAAGAATCTTGTTCTGTGGTCTTATGTTGTAGTCTAAATATAAAAATAAATTATCTTTGTATACAGTGGAAAATTATGTGTGAAATGAAATTATTTGAAGTAAAACGAAGACTGATATCCTATTTGGATTCAGTCATCTCATACAGTGCCATTCAAGCATCAGGAGGCCTAATTATTAATTCTGCAAGTATCTTTTGATCACTAAATATGTTTCAGTTACTTTCTGAGTGCTGGGGCTAGGATAATAGGAAGGAAAAAAGTCTTAATGATTTAAGACTGTGTAAGAAGAAACACAACAATGAATAGTTAATAAGTATGAACAGATAGACTAATTATTTGAAAACTGTAAATGAAAGAGAGATAAATTAAACCCATAAGGGAGTTGAGTGGGAGGCCTTCTAAGGAAAGTGAAACTCTGGTTGTGACCTGCAGTTTAAGTTAGGTGGTTGAATAAGGGATGCGGTGAATAAGGAGCCGAATCAGAAGAGAATTTTATGCAAAGAGAATAGTAGTTTTTTTCCGGTGTGAATTCACTGTGATCACCCCCAAATTTGACTTCAGAGTTCTAAAGTGTAGAGAACTAATTTCACCATGAATTCCTTGCCTAGTTTAAATTTATATTTCTTTATGATTCTTAACTTTATTGACCTTTTTATCCTCAATCTCTTGCGAAGACAACTTTCTTCTCATACTCTAACCATCCTTCTTGAAAAAGGTATGCTTATTGTCTCACATGGTATTGCCATTGGATATGAGTGAGATAGCCCCTGCCATGGAGCTCCTGTTTTAAAGGGCCCCACTTTGACCTTCATACTGTGCCCTTCTCTACAGGTAAAGAGTCCCCAAAGTTCAAAAATGCATTTGAAGCCTTTGCATCTCGCTTCTAAACCACCTTCTAAATTATAAAAAATTCCAAATTTTCAACATTAATAGCTCCAAGTCTACTTTGAGGGTCTAATTTGACTTCTTTCTTGATCTTTCCTCTAAATAGTGCACATTGCCAGAGTCCCCCATCAAGAATGACTGAGGTGGTGTACATGTGCTGCCAGCCCATGCACATGGTACCCACATGCACGTGTCACTCACATTTCCCCTCTTGCAATGTATGCTTTTATACCTTTATACTTTTGTGTTGGGATGTGTACTGGGGCTCTCTCTGCACTCTGGACTGTCCTACATCCTCTCGTTTCCCTCTCTCTCTGTCTCTCTCTCCCTCCATTCTTCCCTTCCTCCCTCCCTCCATTCCTCTTTCCTTTTGGGCATTATGGTTTGCAAGAAAGGTACTGAAAGGTTATCATGTATATCCCTTTGCCTACTTTCAGTACTCAGTTCTTGTCCAGAGTAATCATTTCTAACTATTGTCATTGTCATAGTGGTCCCTTCTCTCTCCTGTGTTTGGGAATTTAGACACTGAAAGCCTATGTGGTGTATTAAGAGATGTGCTGCTTTGTAATGTGTTCCCTCTAACAGATAGGGTAAAGAGATTCTAAAGAGGCAAACTATTCCAGATTGGCAATTAGCAGGTTTAATAAACTGTCACTGTCCTCCTGTTGTTCATCGATTTGCTCAAGCAGGCCCAGTAACGTCTCCATTTTGAGACTTGTTGTTACTGTGTTTGGCATATTGAATATGCCACAGGTAGCTTGCCAGACTTTGCCTTGCGGGTGTGATACTCTCGGTAGCTTGCCGGGCTCTTCGAGAGGGGCGGAGGAATCGAACTTGGGTTGGCCATGTTGGCTGCGTGCAAGGCAAACACCCTCCCCGCTGTGCTATAGCTCCAGCCCGAACAAGCAATAAAAACTTATAAAATAAAAAATTATAAAATAGTGGTCTTAAAATTTATTTAGGACCTCTATTGGGGCAGGTTTGGGGTGGTTGTTGGGAAAATTTGAAAAAATGGTGGTGTGTAAGGTGGAATGGTGGGATTGGTGTTGGAATATTGAATATAATAAATAATTGTGAACATCAAAAAAAAGAAATACTATGTAATATATCTTTTTAAACTCCATATTCAGGGTTGTTAATGTTGGTACCTTAACATTAGCCATAGCCAGAGTGTTTATACATTGGACATCAGCAAATGTTACAAATTAGGACTTTCTCCCTTTCTCAATCGCTGCCTGTTAAATATTTATCAGCATAATATTGGTTTTAGGGGTCTAGGCTTAGATGTGGCACATACCACTGAAACTCAGATTAGCTAGAATGGATCATATGGTTTGACCGTAAGGTTTAGGTCAAGGACTCTAAGTCATTTGTATTATAGGAATATAAATATTGGTAGACTCTTTTAGCCTTGTCATGAAATAATAGTCATTAAAATGTCTGCTTTCTAGGACATCCAGTTACTAAATTACATATGTGTGGATTATGTATTTATGTATAGTCACTTATAAATATTCACAAATCCTCTGTATTAAACTAGAGTTGGTGGTGCCTTGTGAAGACTGTCCTGTGGTACAATGAGACTTTAGTATGTGAAGATTGTATTTCAGTTTGTCATGTACATTGCTACTCAAAAAATTTTCCCTTTTTCCAAACCTGCAAATTGATATTAACTTTATTTTTGTGAATCAGGGTATAGTATTTCAATGAGACTTTGCCTTGCGGGTGTGATACTCTCGGTACCTTGCCGGGCTCTCTGAGAGGGGTGGAGGAATTGAACTCGGGTTGACCATGTTGGTCACTTGCAAGGCAAACGCCCTACCCACTGTTCTATCGCTCCAGCCCTTTAATAAACTAGAGAAATTAATTTATAAGGAGACTTGTCATGGGGCTGGAGAGAAAGTTCAATGGGGTGAGCACAAGATTTTCATGGGGTAGGCTCTGACTCATCCCACAACATGACATGTGACGCCAAAATCACAATCACAATCACAAATCATCCTGTTATTCATCGATTGCCTCGAGCAGGCCCCAGTAACGTCTCCTTCATCCTAGCCCTGAGATTATATTCAAGGCTCTTTAGGAGAATGAGACCCATCATTGTTACTGGTATTTGGCATATTGGGTACGCCACAGGGAGTTTGCCAGACTCTGCCATGTGGGCAGCCTGCCAGTTTGTCAAAGTAGGAATGAGATGTCATAATAAGATGTCGCACGGCCGCACTCCAATCCTCCAAGTTCCAGTAGGCGGGGGTCACACCCACCAACTGGCCCCCTGGCGCTGTGTAATCCCATCAGCAGCCAAGACTCAGAGACTATCAAAACCAGCTCCCGGGGGAGAACAGTGCAGTCTCCTGCCCCCGCGCCTGGCTATTCCTCGCAGGGGCCCCTTGGAGGGGAGCGGGTTGAGCTTTCCTCCCCGCCCTGACCAGGGCCCCGGCAGCCGAAGACCTCCAGGACCAGCCACCACCATGCTGAGACCACTCTCCGCACACCTGAAGGTACCGGCAGAGGGACAAAGCCACGTGGGTTCCGGGGCCGAGATCTCCAAGCCTACTCGGATTGGAGTCAAGCATCCTCCACCCAGATCCTCCAAATTCCAGTAGGCGGGGGGTCACACCCACCAACTGGCCCCCTGGCGCCGTGTAATCCCATCAGCGGCCAAGACGCAGAGATTATAAAAACCAGCCAAAATCACCATCATGATTAATCTATAGGTAGAGAAAGGTCTCTCTCCCACCCCAAAATGCCTTGGCCAGCCACAAGATGAATAGTTCTTTTTACCCACTGCTTAACTTTAATTTTGTTGTTTTAAAGTACACTCCTGACTCTATGCTCAGGAATTATTCTTGGTGGTGGTCTGGGGACCATATGTGGTTCCAGGGATGGCACCAAGGTTAGCTGCGTGTAAGGCAAATGCCTGTTCCTCTGCAGTATTATTCTGATCCTGATCTTAAATTTTTATCTATTTACTTTTTGATTTGGGGGTTACACCTGGTGAAGCTCAGGGATCATTTCTAGGGTGCTCAGAGGACTGTATGCGGTGCCAGAGATCAAATCTGGTTAGGCCTCATGCAAAGCAAGCACCTTGCTGTACTATCTTTTTGATTCTCCTTAAAATTTTATATAGAAACTTTTACTGGGTTCTTAGTTTTGGGGAAGGAGGTGGGCACACTGGTAATAGGTGTAGTGTTGGAATTATGTATGAGAAACCATCATGTACAATACTGAAAATCACTACAATCAATTTTTTAAAAGTTAAAGTAACTGGGTTGTTGTATAATTTCAGGGCAGCTAGGGAGAGCCCCATCTCCCTCTTACCTCCCGGGTTCAGTGGTCCCAGGACGCTCCACCGCTCAGAGTGGCCCAGGCCATGGGGTGGACAAGGAGAAACGAGGGTCAAGACAGTTGGTGATCAGTTGCCTTTATTCCATTCTCCCCACGTACCTGTTCCAGTCTCACTAAGCTTCCCATTCTAGTCGCACACTGCCTCTCATTTCTGTCTCCTGTCTCCCCCACTCATCTCTCCACACACCATCTTGCAGCCTGGTTTCTCTCTCCCCACATGCCTGCTCCTGTATTCTTCTTCTGCATTCTTCTCCCTCTTACCCCCTTGCTAATCTCTCCTTGCTCCATCTTGATGCCCTGCTCTCTCTCATCTCCCTCCAACTCTCTCATCTCTCCCCAACACCGCAGCACTTGGAGCAGATGCCACACACAGTCTGGTAGCAAAATCAACATGATAAAGCCCTTCGTGCATCTCCCTGATGATTAGTGATGTAGAGCATTTTTTCATGTGCCTTTTGGCAATTCATATTTCTTCTTTGAGAAAGTTTCTGTTCATTTCATCACCCCATTTTCTGATGGGGCTGAGATATCACCTCACACCACAGAGACTGGCCCACATCCTAAAGAACAAAAGCAACTGGTGCTGGCATGGATGTAGGGAGAAAGGAACTCTCCTTCACTGCTGGTGGGAATGCCGACTGATTCAGCCGTTTTGGAAAACAATATGGACAATTCTCAAAAAATTAGAAATAGAGCTCTTGACCCATCAATACCACTCCTGGGAATATATCCCAGAGAGGCAAAAAAGTATAGACGAAATGATATCTGCACTTGTATGTTCATTGCAGCACTGTTTATAAAGCTAGAATCTGGAAAAAACCCTAGTGCCCAAGAACAGATGACTGGCTAAAGAAACTCTAGTATATCTACACACTGAAATACTATGCAGCTGTTAGAAAAGATGAAGTCATGAAATTTGTATATAGGTGGATCAACATGCAAAGTATGTTAAGTGAAAGCAGTCAGAAAGAGAGGGACTGACATAGAAAACTTGCACTCATTTGTGAAATATAAAGTAACAGAATGGGAGACTAACACCCAATATTATTAAAGATAAGTACTGGGAGGATAACTTCACAGTTTAGAAGCTGGACTCACATACTGGGGGAAAAGGTAGCTCAGTTAGAGAAGGGATAACCAAGTAAATGTGCTAGGAGGATCTGCTCAGGATGGGAGCGGATTTTACACCCTGAAAGCAAAATCTAGACTGAACATGATGGCCACTTAATACCTCTATTGCAAACCACAACACCCAAAAGGAGAGAGAAGGAGAGAGATTAAAAGGGAATGCACTGCCACAGAGGTGGGGTGGGGTGAGGGGGATCTGGGTGGGGATGGTGGGAGGGATGCTGGGACCATTGGTGGTGGAAAATGGGCACTGGTGGAGGGATGATACTCGACCATTGTATGACTGAAATGCAAGCACAGAAGTTTGTAAGTCTCTAATTGTACCTCAGGATTATTCACTAATAAAAAAAAAAAAAAGAAAAGCCCTTCCTGACCGCCCATTAGGCTCAAGGTTAGAAACACCACCTAGGGGTGTTCCTCTTCTCCTTAGTCCAATAACTTAATTCAACATATTAATTAACATCTTAATTCTACTTCTTAATATTAGTTATTTTGTATGGACACAGTAAGAGGGACATTGAGTTTGTAGGGTGGCTCTCCTGGGAACATCTTGCCACAAACTCAGACTACAGTGCTCAGGCCAGATTAATCTTTCTTAACCCTAACAGGGTCCAAATCTAGTTATTACTTTTTGGATCATGACAGCATTTGTTCATGACCAAGCTTTTAACTTATAGGTAAGCATTATGGCACTTTGGCCAGGCCCATTTCGATGCCAGGGTAGTACATAGCTCACAGCTTGCCCTGGGTCCATCCAGTCCCTCGTCGGGACCCTGATTTTGGGGGTGCTAGGAAGTAAAGGCAGCTGAGGTTTAGGTCGAAAGAGCAGATGCCCCGGAGGTAATATTATATGGAATATTACAAAAGCATAGCATTGTCTTCTTGTGTCTATACAAAAAGAACATTGATCTGAATTAACTATGAAAAGGACTTAAGGAGAAGAGAAAAACAATATTTACAAGTCAACAGAGCACAAAGAAAAAGGTTACAAATAAACACAGAGGAATGGGAGCACTGTGATGGGAGTAATCCAATAAACTTAGCTCAATGTGGCAAGGTGAAAAGGACAAACCAATGTTATCCTACAGGTTGTTAGTATGCACACCACCTGGATGGTCTCAAAACCACATTATGATATCAAGGATGTGTCTTTGAAATCCTTGGGGATTTCTAATATGGGGCAGTTTCTAATATGGAAAAGGCATATGGAATGTACAGGAGAGGGAGTGAAAAATTTCTTAATTTCAGACTCCAGCTCATAATGCAATTGACAATCATGCCTTCTCAATTATCTCCA